TTTTGGTATTTTGGAAACTTTGGTCAGTAACTGTTAAAACAGGGTGATATTTTGTTTTAAATGTCTATTTGGAACGGGACTAGCTAAAGAGAGCTAATTAGCGCTGCCTTCAGTTTGCCACACTCGATGAATTGCTTGTGAGGCTGTGGCTAGATGTTTAATAACTTAGATTGCAGGACTTTTTTATAATGCCAAAAGGGGGAAAAAGAAGAAGCAAACTTGAAAGTGGAAGTTGTTCTGGGTTCCAGTTGATAAAGTATCAAGATTTCTGTTTTGTTATGTTTTTGTTTGCTTTAGGTTAAAGTTTTTTTTTTTTTTTTTTTTTTTTTTTTTTTTTTTTGTTTTGGTTTCTGTGTGTTTTTATTATCTTGTTAAAAAAAATCAAAAATACAAAAATACGTCATTCTATTCTATTTAACTTTCCTGCTCGAAGTTTGCTAAGTTTGTCATCATCAAAAAGGGGGAAATTGTTGAAGTTTAAGAGTTTTGATGATGATGAATAAAATCAAATTTCAACTAATGCGATTTCTCTAAGTGTTTGATTTGAATAGGTGAAGTTAACTTTGGAAGTGGAAGAGTAACCTGTTTATGAAGAATCAAGGAGATCCAAAGAGAAGTTAAAGAAAGTAGAAGAAGAGCTCCTCAATGGAAATAACTGAGTTCCCTAACAGGAACACTAAGAGAGGTTCCCTAACAGGAGCTTGACAACAAGCTAAGAAGACTAGCTTGGTCTGCGTTGAAGACAATAAGTTCTATAAGAGCTTAGCCTGCGAAGTTCCAGCAAGGAACTGGAGAATGAAGGACAGCAGGAACTTAGTCCTGGTCTGCGTGAAACCTTAGTATCCTTACAATACAGCGTTTGATGAGATAATCCAGCTAGAGAATATAATTCTTTTGTTAAGTGTATTTTTCTAAGGATTATTGTAAATATGATAGGAAAGTTTATGCAGTTAGAGGAGAGGATTGTTGATGTTTCAACCCAAGTCCAACATTGAAAGAATGTAGAGTTGCATTCCTTAAAAGTGTCCACCTAGTCCATCAGTATGAGACTTTTTATTAAGTTTTCTAAAATAACTTCATTTATATTAGGTCCAAAACAGACAATATTATGAGGTGTTATTTAATTTATACTTTTATTAAAGTTATTAACAATTTATTCATGATGTAGCATTTTAAAGGAGCGCGAGCAATGTATGTGTAGGGAATTTTTCAAACTCAACCTTTTGAGCCCCACGGTGATCATGCTTTTTAGCATGGTGGGATCAAAGGGAAGGAAACTAGAGATAAAAGAGTCGCCAACAAGTTTTAGGAACATGTATATCGTTCACGGGTGTGAAGGTTACACCCCATTCACGATCACAGAGATCACTAACTCCATAGTGGTCCGGAACCATGACTGGATATTCAGGGATGATGGTACAAATCCAACCTAAAAGAGATTGAACCCGCCCTAAATCGGCCTCTACTTAATTCTTATGATATTCATGTGCACTTTCCGATCAACATACATACATCAAGTTAGCCCTAAACTTATTTAATCTACGTTGATTGATTATTAATGCACAAATAAATCTATTATTGGCGATCACTTGAATTAAAATCATATTAACCTAAAATCAAATTATGAATTATCTTTTTAGGCGTGGTTAAAATACAAATTTCCTTTAAATCTGCAAAAAGGGGCGTGATCAAGCAAACAATAAATCATGAATAATCAAGCAATATATAATTAACACAAAAATCATCATCATAATAACATCATCAAAACATTATTAGCAAGATCCTAGGCATGATACTAAACTGATTAATAACAAATCCTAGCATGTCACTAGTAAAAATCATAATAAAAGCATTAGCCTTAACATGATAATAGAAAACATGACATTAGAAATATTAATTAACAACCTAAACATGATACTAGGAATAAAAATCAACATCCTAACATGATTTCTATATTTAAAAAACAATTAAGTAATCAAATTACTTACTTTGATGCCTCGTATCTCTTTCTATCAAAACAATACACACGTTTTAAGAAAGATTAAATCAAATAAACCAAATAAATCAAATAAGAATTTAAATATAGATTTGAGACCAAACCCTCATAACTATCAACCTTTCACGTCGAGATCGAAGGCAACTTCGACATTAGCTAGGAGTATTCGAAGCTCGTGATGGAGGTATATGGTGTTTGATTAGGGAAAATATCAAGGATGTATTAAGACGTGTTTAGGCTAAGGCTTAGAAAAGAATCAAAAGAGAGAGAGAGAGAGAGAGAGAGAGAGAGAGAATTAAAAAAGGGATTTGATGATGATTGTTGGTGATTGAAAACGAGGTGAAACAACCTCTATTTATTAGGGAAAAAGAGGGGTCGAAGGATCAGAAAAGAGTCAGAATCCAAATCGAAATAATACAGGTTCCATCACGGCGCGACAGCTTTGTCGCGGCGCGATGATGTTGTCGCTTAGCGATGGTTTTAGAAAGATAGAATTCGTACAGAATCTGATTTCCAATCGTATTAGGTTAACCAAATTTCCATACATATTCTATTTTGACTGGGATTAGGATCATTGAAAAACAGATGTTTTATCCGATGTTAAATTCTTAAATCTTTATCTTTTTGAAAACAGGATAAATTAGAACCTTCTAGAAGCTCGCAATAAATCGTAATGGATTTAGGATTGAAAACAACCTTCTAGATAATTCTAGAAGCTTGTAATAAATCCTAATTGGTTTAGGAATGAGGTTAAGTAAATAAACCCTCCACATGGTCATTGGGTCGCAGGTAAGGCTTGATTCAGACTCAGTTTAGTATTTTGGCCATAACTTATTCGTTATAAGTCAGATTTGGGCTTGTTGGAAAGCTCTATTCAAACCCCACAATAATTGGATCAGGATTAAGGACCAAAATAAATTGGTTTGGACGTTTTTATAAGAGGACACAAAATGAATAATTTAAAAAGACACGAAATAAATGATTTTGGGTTTAAAACATTTAAGGAAAGGTTATAAATGGTCATGGCTAAAGAGAATTCACGAGACTCTTCACCTAACTCGATAATCAAAGACGTGAAAGGTGTTCATCACTGGGTTTGGTTTTTGGGGAGACACAATCAGGTGTCTACATTATGTAATTAATTAATTTAATTACTTTTTTTTAATGTATTTTGCTAGTATCATGTCTAGGTTTTAATTGTTATTATTATTTGGATGCTTTAATTCCTACTTTTATTATTATGTTGCTTCCAATATTTTTGTCGGATTTATTTTGATCACCTTTTGCATGTTAAATCAAGAATATGTAATTGAAAATCACGTCCAATAAGATAATTTGTATAACATGTTTAGGTTCTCTTATAATCTTGTGGACTTAATAAGTGATTAAAATATTTAGAATCATATCTACATTAATATTCAACCAACTAAGTAATATTAGTTTGGAGCAGATTAAATTTTTTACTGTATGTTTTTTTATCAAATCGCAAATTAATACTTGTCGCAATAAGAATCGAGTAGAGGCCAATAAGGGCGAAATTGTCTCCTTGCCTCAATTTTGTACCTTCATCCCCGATCTCCCAGTCGTGATTTGTTGATCATATATATTGAGTTAGCAATCTCATGGATTGTGAATGGGGTATAATTTTCATAAATAAAATTCGTGGTTGCCTTTGTCCCTTTCAGTAAAATCCATGAATGGTTTACAAGTTCTTTAAAACTTGTTGGCAGATCCGTACTTTATCCCTTGTCCCTATCATATATGTCAAATCTTACTATCTATGATTGTTAAGCATATTCACGCATGTTTAAAGTATGCTCACTTCGCGCGACGTCTACACCGTGAAATTGTTTCGTTTGTGAAAACTTATGCGAGATCGCAAAGGTCATCAAGTTTTCAAATACAATCAGATGAATCAAACGGAAAATATCCTCATGACTACACAAGATCGTTAGATTGTCTCTCCAACAAGGTTGTACCATCTAGCGATATAAGCGGGAGATGTTTCACAATGCAAGATCTACTCGATGATCGTAGTTTTTATTAACGACATTTTTATTTGATTCAATATCTTAAATAAAGTTCAATAAGAAAAAAAAGTTAAATAAAAATAAATTTTAATCATTAAAAATCAGTAAGGCTCTATTCTCTTCACCTTATTTTTGCTTAATTGATATTAAATTATTTTTGCTAAACTTAAATTACTTTTATTGATTCGATCGCTAACTTAGTCATTTTTATTGAAATGGATTTATTTTTGCAGAACCAAACTTATTTTTACTAAATATTATTTAAACAAGGTGACTGGAATAGAACTTAGCTTTTAATAAACCAAATATATTAGTGAATTAGTAAATATAACTTAAGTTCAGCAAAAATTAGGTTAATATATATTCAATAAAATTCGGGTTAATAGAACAAGGAGTTGTTGTTATTATTATTATTAAGTATGATGATAAGAATAATTATGGTAATAATTATGATGGTGATAATAATATTAATAATATGGTAAGTATGATAATAAGAATAATTATGGTAATAATAATAATAATGGTGATAATAATTTGTTGTACGAAAATTATTTTTAATATATATAATTCATTGCTACTGAAATTATAATATTTTTGCTTAACTTATTTTTACTAATAGTATATTATATATGTATATTGTAGTTATTGATTTGTATGGACTAGAACTCAACTTTACTAAATTTAATACCTTCATTTCTTTTTATTTACAGTAAAGGGGTGTTTTATGTGAGACATATTTGTTGCAAATAAAAAAAAAAATTAAAAAAAAAAAAAAAAACTGATATAGCAAATAAATTATTGAATTTAAATTATTTTTACTGAATATAATTTGAATATGATAAGGAGAACGGACAAATGCACAATAGAGCCTTAGCTGGTTAAATATTAAGGGTGATATTTGTACCAAAACTTGAGATAATAATTAAGTTAAAATAAACCCGAAAATAATAGAAGGTATATGTGTTAGGTAGAACAGAGCAAAAACAGGGGAACCTTATATAAATACTCTATATCTTCTTCTCAATTTCATTACCACATTAAACAATCTTACAATTTCATTTCTTGTAATTTTTTGGAACTGCTTCTGTTTTTCATTTGAATACAGAAGCAGGTTCCACTTTAATTTCATTTTTTTAATATAAAAAATCCAAGAATAAAACCTCCTTTTAAACTTTATTTCCCTCATTTTTCTTGCTTTAATTTTCTTTTTCATATTTTATCAAATGAGTGATTTCCTTCAATCCAAACTTGAATTTGTGTTAGTTTTTCTGTAAATGTACCGACAACCCCATTTCGAATAACAATTGTTTTGCGTGATCCTGAAGAAACAAATCTCTAAAAACCTTTCTCATCATATTTAAATCTCAGCATTTCACCAAAAAATTCATCCCCTGTTATTATCTTCCTCTGTTTTTTTTCGCTTCGACGAAAACATGGAGAAGATATCAAATCAAGAGCTTCTTCTACCAGAAGGATTTCTAAGGCAGAGAGATGATATAACAGGGAAAATTGGGTTAATTTGGGAACAAATTAAAACACCCATTTTTGTGCCAATCCTAAAATTAGCAGTCATTATTTGTTTGGGAATGTCAATAATGCTGTTTATAGAGAGAGTTTATATGGGAATTGTGATAATTTTGGTGAAAATGTTTGGAAAAAAACCAGGAAAAAAGTATAAATGGGAAACTATTAAAGATGATGTAGAGCTTGGTAGCTCAGCTTATCCTACAGTTCTTGTACAAATCCCAATGTATAATGAAAAAGAGGTACTATTAAATTTTCTTTATCCCCTCTTCTTAAATTTTTAATTTCGCAACATTAGTTTTTTTTTTTTTTTTTTTTTTTTTTTTACGGTCTTTAAGGTGTACGTTTGAGACCGAGTCTGTAACTTCGGCTAATTGTGCAGGTGTATCAGCTCTCCATTGGAGCAGCATGTGGACTTTCATGGCCGTCTGATCGAATTATAATTCAAGTTTTGGATGATTCAACTGACTCAACCATCAAGGTACTATTCCGTACTACACTAGTACAGTAGAGTTGTAGGTAGTGAAGTAGTGATGCATTTGACATTTGTTCACTTTCTTATCATATGACTATGTAGTATGAAAATTAAAAGAATAGAAGATGCTTGTTAGTTTTTTTCGTATAAAAAACACATCTTATGGAATAAATTGACTCATAACTCACAAAGAGAAACAAGATTAAATTAGGGGGTAAAAAGTTTAATTTTTTTTTTTTTTAAAGCCGTGCTGAATTTGCACCTCAAATTATATAGACTTTGGGTTTTTGGCAACCGTGCACCACGGCATTTTATTCATGGAAAATCGATTTTTAGAATTATCTCTTCTTAATTTTTAAGATTATTTTTACATGGGTATTCTTTTTATGTATGGTGAAAATTTTAGAAAATTACATTTACAACTTTACATCATCTAAATGGAGACTTTTAAATTTTTTAACTATAAAGCATTTATCTCAAAGATAATTCGTATTTTCAATTCGCTATTAAAATTATAGTAAGTATCAAAAAAGAAAGAAAAAGAAATAAAAAAAAAAAGAGGTTATTGTAAATATTCAATTAAAAAAATACCACTCAACGAGACGAAGTTGTTAAAGGATCATGAGGCGATTATTTTAAAATTATTCAGATACTATTATTTCCAAATATTGCGATTGTCCCTACTTAATGTCCTTTAAAGTAATGGAGAACCATAATTCTTATACAAAATTTTGAGAAGAGTTTGTAGAGTGATGAAGCACTTTAGATGACACTTCTAAGTTGTTCTTACTTAAAATAGTATGTACAAGATTACCACTTTACTAAAAAAAAAAAAATACTACAATGACAATATTCATAACTTTTTCCTTTTTTTTTTTTTTTTTTTTTTTTTTTTTTTTTTTTTTTTTTCTGAATTTTGAATTTTGTTTATGGGAGAGCAGGAATTAGTGGCAATGGAATGCAAGAAATGGGCGAACAAAGGAATAAACATAAAATATGAAATTAGGGACAACAGAAATGGGTACAAAGCAGGAGCTCTTAAAGAAGGGATGAAGCATAACTATGTCAAGAATTGTGATTATGTTGCTATTTTTGATGCCGATTTTCAACCTGAACCTGATTTTCTATGGCGCACAATCCCCTTTTTGATGCATAATCCTCAGCTTGCCCTCGTTCAAGCTCGTTGGAAGTTTGGTAATTTCGCTTACTCTTAACTTCTTTTTCTACATATAGTATATGCAAACACAACAACACCTTAGCGTTAGAGAGACATAATTAATTTCGCTCTCTTAACTTCTTTTTCTACATATAGTATATGCAAACACGACAACACCTTAGCGTTAGAGAGACATAATTAAGTTTTTAAGTCTTGTGTTCTTTTAATACTTGAAGGTTTACTAACTAAGCTAATTGGTTTCTACTAAAATACATACTTGAGTTATTATTGGAGCGAACTAGTACACTTAATTACTTAATAAGTAGTGATAGTAAAATAATGTGTGCTTTAATATTCATGTGTGCAAATGTGTACAATAGCCAGTCACTAGATTAAAATTTTGAGAACAACCACCAATTGGTTTTGTAGATGTTGGACTAACATCATTTTATTTTATTTGGCAACTTTGAAATTTATTTAGTTAGGTGTTATTTCTTAAATTTAAACTAGTCTTCTGGCCCGTGCAATGCACGGTTATTCATATAAAATTGCATTGAAAGATGAGTTGGGAAATATCAATAAGTCATTATGGAGTATAATATGTAATCGGAAACATGATTAAAGAAATTAAAATTTTGGAACTTTAATCGAAAAAGGGACTTAAATAGAAGGTGGGGGGAGGGGGGCTAAAATTAAAGAGAGAATAGGAAAAGGTTGAATTGAAGAGGAAAGATAAAGATGAAAGGATGAAGTGTGCATGGAAGATAAAATATTAATTTAATAAAATAATTAAAGAAAAATAATGTAATAAAAAATTAATAATGTAAGAAGACATGTGGCACTTTGGTTAGAGAAGAAGATAGAGAAATGTAATAGAATGGGAATATGTGTTTTTCTTGATTATAGTTTTTGAATACTAAGTATAGATTACTTTGGGATAACATTTTTTCTTTCTTCACCCTAATACGTGGTGTATTAATTAATTAGTATGGGACTATAGATGACTGAGGAGTGCAATTAAGGCAATAAGGAGAAGGACATAAGGTGTATGAAAGTGATATTGCGGCTCAAGTTGATAGTCCTTGTTGGCCAATTTCAAGTGTGACATTTGTTGGTAGGAATCTGATTTAGGGTAGCTTTCCACATGCTCATAATTAAAATAAATGTTGCTTAGAAAGTTTATTACGACTATAAAATATAAGGATAATGATATATGCAACTTTAAGTATAATAACATGAGCATCTACAAAGTAATACTAAGTATATTTCCTAATAAATTAATATTTCGTATTTTATATTAATTTGGAATTACAGGTAAAAATCACGTGTAAATTATTGGTGTAATTAATATTTGATTGAACTTGATATTTCTATTTTTAGATTCTTATATACAATCCTTTTCCAATTATATTTAAAATTTTAAACAATATGTATTCATAAGAGAACTATAACTAAAAGTTAAGAGTGGAAACATTAAGGCTGAATTGAACTACATATAGACTACTATATATTATAACTACTAACATTAATCAACTCTTAATTTTGTCATAAATATCTAAATTAATACTAATATGTAACGTTTATGTTTTCTTCTTAGGGATATGTATACAAAAAGATTGCATTATATCATAAGGGCAAATTGATTCAAAACACAGTACAAACAGCAGTTTCTAATATTGTAATGGTAGTTGTACTAGTTTGTTACTTAGCAAATTCTTTTTTTATGAATGTTTAGACATAAGATCATTGAGACACAGTAGAATAAAGGAAAATTTGGTTTTAACAATCCCAACTTTGATCGATTATCTTTAAATAATATTTACTTTTGATTATTCTAGAATAATCCCAATTTATATAGGTGTCTTCTTATTAAATCCGAACTTTTATTTTTGTTATGCATAATAGTCCCAAAAGGGATCAGCAAAAGCAACAAAATAACACTTCGGATTATTTTAGGAAAATACCTATATAAGTTCAAATAATTATTCTAGAATAATCAAAAGTAAGGATTATTTAAGAAAATCGATCAAAGTTGGGATTATTAAAGCCAGTTTTTCCTAGAATAAATCATACGTGAGTAACAAAACAGGAGTTTTTATTTTTGTGTTGTAGGGTCGTATAAATTTGAGACAGACACTATTAATAAAATTTACAAACACTTTGAATCTCAAAAATACTTTTCCAGTGATGAAAGATTTCTAATGAACCACTCCATGATATAGCAAGGTGATACACCAAGCAACACTTTTTTCTTTTCCAGAATTTTCTAAGCAATTAATAGAAAAAGTTGTAACATGAAATATTATTTTCATGCTTTAAAGTTATGAAATGGCAATATGAAAAATCCCATGAGTATAACTTACACTTGCAGAAGTATAGATTGTTCCAAAATTGGTTCAATTGACCCACATTCCCCCTTTTCCTTTCATTTCTTTTTACTTAGAACAAAAATAAATTAAAAGTATGGACCAAAATCTAGTATGAAGGTCAAATTCTTCAAAAGAAATAAAAAAGTATGAAGGTTAAATCTGTCATTTCACTTATCAAATGTTATTACGTAGTTACAGCTAGCTCCATGTGCTTGGGAAATTTCTTCAGTGATATTCCAGTGATTAGTGATTACCATTGTCTGCCTCATCAAGGGAAAATTAAAGTCTAGGAATTTATGATTGCTTTTATTTTGGTGTAATTTATTTTATAAATTTATTTTCTTGAAAAAAGGGTAATTGATAGAGACATCTCATAGTCCCCATTTATTTAAAAAAAGTAGCACTCTATGTTAAAAAAATTGTCCTTTTATTTATCAATAATAATTGGCAAAAGTTAATGAGCGTTCCCACACGTTAGATAAAAGAATTAAAAGTGAAATTAATACTTCCTCCGTCCCTTAATTTTGCCCCATTGCAAAAATCTGGGTCAAAGTTCTAAAATTTTGACCATGAATTCTCTTTAATTTATAAGTGATAATATATTCATATGGGATCTTGTTAGAATCATGTATAGTTTATTAACATCAATTTTTTATAATTTTTAAACGTAATATATACGTTTGAAGACGTGTCTTGGAAACCGTGAAAAGTCAAATGGGGTAAAAAATAAGGGACAGAGGGAGTATAATAAAACTAACATTAGTTCCACCAAACGACGCGTGATTTATCATGCATTCATAACTTAATATTATTTTAATCAATATAATCATTAGTTATCTAACGTCTCGGGGTGCTCATTAGCAAGATCCATAGTAATTTCTTTTATCTTGAATTAATTTAATCATTTGTTAACTTTCATTTTACATGTGATTTAAATTTATTTTCACTTCTATAACATTAAATCAAGTTTTGTTAGTCACTTATATAGAACTCTTATTCCGTACTTCTTATTAATCCGAACAATGATTTATTCGTTGAAGAACTAATGTAAACAGATTTAGCAAGTTTAACAGTGATATGAAATCACGGATTAACGAAGCTTGGTTGCATCTTACACGCGGATGTATATAATATTGTATGTATAATTTATGAATTTACTACAATGGTTTTATATTTTACCATTTACATATTTATTTTTTTGGCAGTAAATTCTGACGAGTGTTTGATGACAAGAATGCAAGAAATGTCATTGGACTATCATTTTACAGTGGAACAAGAAGTTGGATCTTCTACCTACGCTTTTTTTGGCTTTAATGGTAACCTCACTTTACTCTTTTCAAAATAAATTCTTTTACTAAACCTTATCCAATATATTTTCACACAATTCCCAAATTAGAAGAGATTACCAACCTTTACTTAGGTTGATCATGAATTTTATTTACCTAACTTTTACTTACCGCGATCTACTTAATGAGTGTTCATGGGCACATGATAATCTTCAAAATTTTCATTTTTTTTTTACGGTTTTGGAGCCAAGAAAGAGTTGAAATTAGTAGGGGAATGATGAATCAAAAGTTGAAGCTATCTAATTTTCTTGACTTTTGAAATGTTGGAAAGGTTCTTATACGTATTTATCATACTAATCTCTTAAACATAGAATATGAATAGGTAAAGAACTATGAGTACCCAAGTAAAAATCTTACTATGGCATACACTGGTGACTGGTCGACTTCAGAACAAAATGGTCAAAATCATAGCGATATGAACAAAAACTCTTTCACGAAGTAGCAAATGTTAAAGTTTAATTAAACGTTCAATAGTTGATCAACAAGCTACCATGCTCATAATTACTGTGTGAGAAATGCAGGCACGGCTGGTGTATGGAGAATCTCAGCTATCAATGAGGCCGGGGGATGGAAAGATCGGACAACAGTCGAGGACATGGATCTTGCTGTTCGAGCTAGTCTCAAGGGGTGGAAGTTTTTATACCTAGGTGATCTCCAGGTATCTTCTTAAGTCATAATGAATTAATGCTACTTAACTTGCTTATCCCCTATGAATTAGGTTCGGAATTGTGTGAACTGTTTTTAGATGGAACTAGGGGACTGAGGTCTAAGGGTGCAAATGAGCCCAGTAGACTTGTAAGCCTAGTTCATTAGAAAGTATTGCATTCAGGTTTTCGGCTCATATTTTTCAACTAATGCAATGATGTTGATACAGGTGAAAAATGAACTGCCAAGTACCTTCAAAGCATACCGATTCCAGCAGCATCGATGGTCCTGCGGCCCTGCTAACTTGTTTAGAAAAATGGCGTTGGAGATCATAAGAAACGAGGTAGGTATCTTCTTCCCAATGTAATTGTCAAAAAAGTAAAGATGTTTTCTGGAGAGAAAGACTTCAGTGTTGAATATTTTGCAGAAAGTTTCGTTGTGGAAGAAGGTACATGTGATATACAGCTTCTTCATAGTCAGGAAGGTCATAGCCCACGTAGTTACCTTTGTTTTCTACTGCATCGTCCTCCCTGCCACTGTATTAATACCTGAAGTTGAAGTGCCAAGATGGGGAGCCGTTTACATCCCTACCATTATTACCTTCCTCAATGCAGTTGGGACGCCAAGGTTTACTTCGATCCTCCTGGCCTCTCGTTCTTTTGCTATCTTGTTTTGTTTCGCTTAAACCCCCAAACTTATGTACTGAATCCATCAAGTGGTTTTATCTCTTATTGCAGATCACTTCATCTGCTAGTTTTCTGGATTCTCTTTGAAAATGTTATGTCATTGCACCGTACCAAAGCTACCTTCATTGGTTTGATGGAGGGTGTGCGAGTGAATGAGTGGGTCGTTACTGAGAAACTTGGTGATGCTCTCAAGTTCAAATCGGTGGTTAAAGGATATAGGAAACCTCGTTTTAGGTTTGGAGACAGGTATAACCTCACTTATAAAAATCTTTATCCTATCATTGCCTAGCTATTTCTAATGGACTACCCACCCAATGCACTGATTTCACTCATTTGAACAGGCTGCATATACTAGAACTCGGCGTTGGAGCTTACCTTCTCTTCTGTGGCTGCTACGACCTACTATTTGGAAAGAACCACTTCTTCCTCTACCTTTTCTTTCAAGCCTTCGCCTTCATCGTGGCAGGATTTGGATATGTGGGCACCTTTGTTCTAGGCTCCTAACTCTGATATAAAGACAACTCTGATATAAAGACAATGTGACTGCATACCTTCTTTTTCACTTGGCTGGAACTAGCTTGCAGGATCCGGTTTTCTATCCTTCTTATAGAAGCATAAGGGAATGGTGCCTTTAGTGGCAACTCCCTCAAATACATGTATCAATTTTGTAAAGTCAGTGACACAGAAAAAACCAGAGTTTGGGAGATGTAGTTTGCTTTTGTGTAAAGTTTGGAGAACCTTCGCTGGTCTGAATATTGTTGTAGTCTTATAGATATGGTTACACAAAAAAGTGCAAGCTGTAAGAAATAAAATTCCAACAGTTCAAAGGGCTAGTTCTTTCCCTTCACAAGCTCTATCTTATCTTTGCTCAAATTTTGTAGTCAGGATTTGTTTGTTGTATTTATGCCACTTTCACCAAATAGAGCAAGTGTAACCTTTGTTACTAAGTATTACTAAGTGTTAACCTTAATTAAGTTGTCGAGCATTCCAAGTCGCTAGAAGAAATTATAAAACCGTCACAAACAGAAAAACTGTGATCAAATCCATCCAGGAGTCCAGCAAATGCAAAACCGAAGAGAGGAAATTCAAATAACAGTTGCTATTTGTTCAAAATTAAACCCCCACCCCCCCCCCTTCTCTCCCTCGCCGAAAAACAAAGGTATAACAGGCTGTATGATTGAAGTAATCCTTAATGCCACAATTCAAAATGAATAGTCAGGTAAGTATGGGAGTAGTCCAGGCGTCCAGTTACTATTCTAAGAGATCTTATAGCAAATGCAGGACATGTAATCTGATACATTTACTTTGGGGCAGAGAAAGTAATGCGCTGAAAGGCACACTGAGACTTAAAGAAATAAATCATTTAAGCCATAAATGTCTTGTGGTCACACCACACGTGATCAGGCCAACCGACATTGCTTAAAAGCAACAACTGAATTGCCAAACACCAGGCCGAGGCACACACATCTAGTGCACACGCTGCAATTTCAGCTATCCACTGAGCAAGTAGGCAGCTCTAGTTCACAAGATTACTATAAGCTTAAAAGACTTTGAAGATGTCTAATTCTGATGCATCAATTAATCCCTAGTAGAGTACAAGGACACCAAATCTTCATCCATAAGAGCAAACCATCTCAAATAATGAATTATGTGAGACGGTTTGATCAGATACACCGGCACGTTTCAGAAGAGTTAACAACAGAAAATCAACAAAACCTCAAGCAAGCAAAGGCATAGATGAACCGAACCACCACTTTACTTATACAACCCACCAAGTCAATGTTCACACATTGGCGTCATCAAATAAAATGACAAATATCAACAGGTATAGGCATCATTATCCATCCAAAAGTACCAAAGAAGAAAACTTAAAAGAAAAAAGGGCACCAATGTCACATAGCAAAGCACTCATCACAAAGCAACGTCAACATAAATACACAAGTCTCCATCAAATGTTACGCAAAAATCTAATAACAGCACATCTCCAAAGGAATCAGATCCTCTCCAAGGTCCATTACCTTTATGTAGGGCCGAATTTGAAGATGGAAACTAGACGAGAAGAACAAGAGAGGATCCTAATTCGTCCCGAAAAAGAAATCAATGAGAACATCACCCAGTCCATGAGGATACCTATGTTGAACATCAATTACTCTTACTCTACCCAATCATGCCACTCCTGACTCCTAATCATCCAAAAGAGCACCAACATCATGTAAACAACACAGATACAGTACTGGCTCATTGAGTCATTGCCAATCATGTTTAGCTTATATTATCAAGAACAAAGATCAAATTTTCTATCCCTAAAAAAAAAAGATCAAATTTTCAACTACGTCGATAAAAGTCAAACCAAGCTCGATTTAACCTAATCAATCCGCATTACTAAATATCAATCAACAACATAGTTACATAGATCCTAAGTTTGGCAATTCAACTTCCATCAATCCCAAAATTCAAATAAATTTCGATAAATCAGAAGTTCAAGGGTTCTACTCCAACCCAATCTATCATTCCAAGTTTCCAACAATCATTAATCAAGTAAACAACAGATAACACTAGTATTAATTATAAACTTCAACAAACCAATTACATTAATCTAAAACAATGGTTTGCTTAATACAACATTATTCAAAAAAACAAAACAAAAACTCACATTTGAAACTCCAGAAAAAAAAAACCCTAATTCCCAAAAATTAGAGAACCTTGAGCATATCCTCAGCGCCGCTAAAAGTAAAAGCGCCGCCATCTTCCATATTAAGCACCTTAACAACACCATCTTCAACCAACATAGCATACCTCTTTGATCGAACACCTAATCCAATCGGCTTATCCCTCAAATCAAGCTCAGCACCAATCGCACGAGTAAAATCACCATTACCGTCGCTTAACATCATAACTTCATCATTAACATTCAAATTCTCTTTCCACGCTTTCATAACAAAAGCGTCGTTAACAGAAATGCAGGCAATAATATCGACGCCTTTAGATTTAAGCTCAGAAGCTTTAGCGACGAAACCAGGGACATGTTTCTGGGAGCAGGTGGGGGTAAAAGCGCCGGGAACAGCGAAGAGGATGGCTTTCTTGGAGGTAGTGAGAGCGGAGATTGTGACGGTTTGGACTTCGTCGGAAGCGTCGAGAAAGGAGAGGGTAGCGTCGGGAAGCTTGGAACCGACGGAAATGGCGGCGTTGATAGTGGGTTTGGTGGAGTATTTGAGGGGTTTAAGGGAGGAAGAGGATTTGAGGTTGAGGGAGAATGAAGGGGTGAGAGTGGAGTGGAGGAGGCTGTTGTTGCGGCGGAAGAGGGAGGGTTTTGGGGTGGAGAGAGAGAATAGGCGGGTTGCTGCTGCGGCGGTGGTGGTTGCGGTGAATGCCGCCATTGTTGTGGAGGAGAGAGAAAGTGAGAAGATGGAGATATGTTGGGTGAAGTGAAAGTGTGAGATTGAGAAATTTTATGAGGAAATGTTGGTTTTGTTGAGAGAGACAATAAATGGGGTTGAATTTAACGCAATTGTGACACCTATTACCTAATTCTAACTCTTTAAGTAGAAATTTTTGTGTGATTTTTTTTATTTGTCCTCGTCTCATTAGTGATTTAGTGCCTTCCACTCCTGGTAGTCTATGAAAAATTTCTTTGATAAGGATTTGGAAGAGGAAAACAAACTATTGTAGTCCATGGAGGAAGGTTAACCTAAAGCGTTCTTATGAATGAGTGGATGACCAGAAATGAAGTAGTATGTCGTAAGGATGATGAAGGGGAGAGAAGGTTTCACAAGGAGAATCGATAGTGAAGATTGAGGGAAATCCCATTAATCGGATTGATTTATTAAATATGTAAATCATCCACTTTTTTTAGAGCAAGTCCCACTTTCTCAATTGAGAAACATAGGATGTTTATCAAATGTTGTTGACTCACCTCTCTTCCTCCTTCCTTCTTGCTTTCTTAATGTAACAACGGCAGTTATTTTCACCAAAATCTCAAACAACAACCCAACAACTACATATAGCTACACCAACCCCAACCAAACCATTTTCGGCGGCCATTTTTCATCTGTTTAAAAAAAATGGGAAGAAAAGTAGATTTAATGACCTTCTTGATTTATAAATTTTTGTAAAATTATAAACTAAAATTATGTACTAGTAAATTAAACTTGTAAAACTAAATTTTCTCTTGAAGATTTAGAGTAGCATGTCATTCATTTGCAATGAAATCCACTATTTGATTGCACGAATTACGAATCCAATGTAGATAAATCCACATGTGCGTCACAAGTACGATTTTTCTAATGGTATTTATCGAAATTGATTCATTGATAGGAATGACAATTCAATCCAAGTTTGATTCAAATCCGATTCAATCCGAAGAAAACAGTTCGATCCGAATCCGTTTAAAAATAATCCGAATCCAAATCCGATAAAATAGATTTGAATCCAAATAGGAGGCAGATCGGACTTGGACCCTACGTAAAAGTCCGACCGAGTCCGACCCAAGTTCGAGTCTGAGTCCGAGTGTGAGGATATATGCTCTTTATAAATTGGGACAATTTCCAGCTTGTTTGTAGCAAATCTTTGTTATGTAACTTAATTCATAATTAAAATATGTTATGTTTATACCCTATACCCTATGTTTTTCCTAATTTTTTACGCACCAATATTAAGAAATAAATTTTATTAGGGACAATACAAGCAATTATAGGTATATCATACATTATTAAAAAAAAAGTATTCAGATCATTAGGAGGTCCGAATAAACGAACCGGATTCGGATCCTAAAATTACGAGTCGGATTGGACTCGGACTCGGATTTTTCTGATTCAAATTTGTATCCGAGTCCAGGGTCTGTTAACTAAATGAATCGAATTTGGATTTACTCGCATCCGACCCGAATCCGATCCGTTGCCATTCCTATTCATTGAAGTGAATGACGTAAGAATATTTCCTTCAACACTTAAAAATATTAATTCTAAAAAATAAGGCCTTTTTGAAACCTTATACGAAACCCATGGACTTTAATTTATTTAAAGAATGGGGTAGCTATGTAAATTGTACTTCATATTAATTAGTGTAGGGAATTTTTCAAATCCAACCTTGAGCCCCACTGTGATCATGCTTTTAGGCATGGTGGCGTCCAAAGGGAAGGAAGCTAAAGATAAAAGAGTCGCCAACAAGTTTTAGGAACTTGTAAACCGTTCACGGGTGTGAAGGTTACACCCCATTCACGATCACGGAGATCGCTAACTTCATAGTGGTCCGGAACCATGACTGGATATTCGAGGATGATGGTACGAATCCAATCTAAAAGAGATTGAACCCGCCGTAAATCGGCCTCTACTTAATTCTTATGATATTCATGTGCTCTTTTCGATCAACATACATACAATAAATTAATCCTAAGCATATTAAATCTACGTTTGTTGATTATTAATGCACAATTAAATCTAATATTGGTGATCACTTGAATTTAAATCATATCAGCCTAAATCAAATTACTATTATCTTATTAGGCGTGATTTCAAGTACAAATTCCCTTTAAACCTGCAAAAAGGGCGTAATCAAGCAATAAAAATAATCATGAATAATCAAGAAATGTATAATTGACACAACAATCATCATCATTGCAAGATCCTAGACATGATACTAAACGGATCAATAACAAATCCTAGCATGTCACTAACAAAGATCAAAACTTTCGCCTAAACATGATACTAGAAATCAACATAACATTAGAAATATTAATTAACACCCTAAACATGATACTAGGAATCAAAATCAACATTCTAACATGATACTAGAAATTAATATAAAGTCCTAAGCATGATACTAAGAATCATAAAGATATCCTAACATGATTTCTATATCGAAAGAATAATTAAGTAATTGAATTACTTACTTTGATGCCTCGTATCTCTTTCTATCAAAGCAATAAACATGTTAGTAACTTCAAGAAATATTAAATCAAATAAGAATTGAAATATAGATTTGGGACCAAACCCTTTGAACTATCAACCTTTTACATCGAGGTCGAAGGCAACTTTGAGATTGGCTAGGAGTATTCGAAGCTCGTGAATGAGGTATGGTGTTTGCTTAGGGAAAAGTATCAAAGATATGTGTAGGGATGTGTTTAGGCTAGGCTAAGAAAAGAATCAAGAGAGAGAGAAAGTATTAGATAGGGGTGGCAAAAACTGACCCGACCCAAAAACCCGACACGAACCCGACCCGAAAATAGCAATTTAGGGTTGAGAATTTCGACACGAAAACTTAAATGGGTTGACACGAACTCGACCCGAAATTAAATGGGTTAGGTTAAGGTTGAAATTTTCAACCCAAAAATGACCCACGTAACCCGAAATTATTTTCGGGTCAACCCGAACCCGACCTTATAACCCAAAAAATGTCTTTTAAAAAAACAAAATATTTGGCTGAAGCCCAAATTGAAAGCTGAAAAGAGTGAAAACTTAAAACCCTAAAAACCTAAACAGCCGTTTTCACTCCTTTTCATCTTTAATTTTCACATTTTCTCTCTCCTCAATTCTTTCGTTCTCTCACAGTCTCACTTCTCTGCTTCTGTCTTCTCAACTTATATGTCTCTTTGAATTCACCATTCTCATCTCATAAGAACTCTCAAGTTCTCAACTGTCAAGCTCATTAGCTCAATGTCTCAAACTCTCAAAGGTAATTTTTTGTTAATTTTTTTTGTTTTCGTTTCGTTTTTTTTCGATCTCTAAGTTCTGAAGTTCTTCTCGATTTTTTCTTTCGATCTCTATTTCTCCATCTTCAAATCTTCCTCTCCTTCAAGCCGTCAAAGCTCAAAGGTAATTTTCCATTAATTGTTTTTGTTTTGTTTTCTTTTTTTTTTTAATACATTTTTTGTATTTGATTTTTGTTGTTGTTCTTGCTTGATAATAGTCTTAATATGCCTAAAATTTTTGTTGTTAATTTCTATTGTTGATTTGTTTTTTTTTTTTTTACGGGAAAGGGTATATCTGTAAGACCATCTGTTGCTGATTTGTTGTTTGACGGGAAAGGGTATTTTGCATGTGAATTTTTTTTTTGATTTTTTATTTTGATTTATGTTGTTGTTCATGTAATTTTTAATTTATATCGTTGTTCTTGTTCATATAATTTCTGATTTTTAGGTTTAATTTATATTGTTCATATAATTTCTGTTCTCCATTCTCGATTTTTAGGCTTAATTTTTAATTTATATTGTTGTTCTTGTTCATATAACAGCCTAGCTTGTTGTTATTGACTTGTTGTTTAATTTATAGTGCGTACAGTTATTTTGCAGGTTTGTGAGAATGTAATTATTGTATAATTTTTGGCAGAAATAATGGACACCCATGTTCAACAACTTTCTTCCGGGGAAGAGGAGGAGATTGACACTACAATAAAAGACAAAGGAAGGGATAAAAACCAGCAAACTTCTTCTGATAAATCTCATGTGATTCTTACTGGTAAGAAACGTTAACGTCGGCTTTCTTCTAGTGTTTGGGTGCATTTTGAGTTTTAAGACGAGCCTGATGAAAATGGTAATCTGATTTGCAAATGTAAAAAGTGTGGTTTACGTTTTAATGTTGATAGTAAGAATGGAATTGGGAATCTTCATCGTCATTAAAAAAATGTAAACAAAGGTCTTTTAGGGATGTTGGTCAAATGATATTAGAGTAAACGTCTTCTAGTTTAGGAAATAGATTGCCTAATTTTGATGTTGATTATTTCTGTGAATTATTATCTCTTGCTATTGTGGAGCATGATATGCCATTTCAGTTTGTAGAGTTCAAGGGTTTTAGGAGATGTTTTAATTATTTGCATCCTGATTTCAATCCTGTCATGCAAAATAGTATCAAATCTGATGTGCTTAAGATGTATAAAAGAGAGAAAGAGAAATTAAAAGTGGTATTGGGCTCAACTTGTAGTAGAATTGCATTGACTTCTGATTGTTGGACTTCTATAACCACCGAGGGTTATATTTCATTCACGACTCATTATGTTGATAAGTCTTGGTGTTTGCAAAAAAAGATCTTGAACTTTTCTTACATTAGTCCTCCCCATACAAGAATTCATTTATGTGATCATGTGTATGGTTTGTTAAAGGAATGGGGTATTTAGAAAAATATTTTTTCAATTACATTAGATATGCTTCTTCAAATGATGTTTTTGCTGAAAATCTAAAAGGGGAACTTGAGTTGATTAGTAGTGGGGAATTTTTTCATGTAAGGTGTTATGCTCACATTTTTAATTTAATTGTTCAAGATGGTTTAAAAGAGATTGATGAGGCTGTGTATAAGATTAAGAAGAGTGCCAAGTATTGTAAGAGTTCACAAGCTAGGAAACAAAGGTTTTTAAGTTGTGTATCACATGTTGAAATTCAATCTACTAGAATTTTACAACAAGATATTCCTACTAGATGGAATTCAACTTACATGATGCTTGATTGTGCTTTGTATTTTAAAAAAGCTTTAATTTACTTTCAAAAAGTTGATACAAATTATGTGCATTGTCCTTCTACGGAAGAATGGGGTAAAGTTGAGAAAATATGCAAGTAT